GGTAAACACTGTGGTGTTTTGAAAGGGCATGAGGCTGTGGCCTTTTGCATCGCCAAAAAAAAGTTGAGACCAGATTTGCAGTCTACCGAAGCGGTCGCTGTCACTTGCTCTCTCCAACTCCTAAATGTTCATTTTAAAAAACGTCTTCATTTGAGGAGAAAAAAAGAGAAATGAAATTTGACTTTTTTGATGTGTATGCTAGAATGCTCGGCTAGGTTATAACTTGTGTGATTGTAAAACACAAACACATGTCTCTCCCTTCCCTCTTCAACAATGGAAATAATGAAGGAAAGAGGGAGTGGAGGAATGGATGAGCGGATGAATTACGCAATTTTGATCGGATAAAGTGATATGACCTTCACTGTTAGTGAGAAATGTGGATTGTGTTCAAACTGCGCAGTACAAATGATTTTAATGTGCTGCGACTGTAAGTGGGAATCCGTAAGCAGATAAGTTTTTTGTCAAGATCTCGATTGAACAAATTACATGAGAGACTAAGCATAAGTGTGAAATTAGAAGTTTTGAGGAGAAGGTATCACTTCAAGCCCCTAAACAGCTCCTATCTTACTGTTTTAACTTTAGTCAATTGACGATGAACAGATAGCAACCATCAGGGTAGGTTTACACATTAATGAATATGATAAATTCAACTTACAGATCCAGAGAGGCTCAAACCCTGCTCCAGGAGCATTTTTAATTCACGAATCATCTGTTTTTTCGATAAATAGGCTGCCTTTGCTGCTTTCAGTTTTTTGGATTCCGCTTTAAATAGCTCAATAAACCTCTGTTTCATGACTTCACCAGTATCAACGGGGAAGCGTTCAGATTCATTTACTATCACCTCCACAGGAGAAGACACTTCAGTAAGAGAGCTTTCACTGACGCGACTACTCTTCAAAGGGCGATCTTGAAGCTTCGAAGAGACTTGGTCTACTGCTGGAACTGGTTCGAGTGGAATGTCTCGAGTCTCAATGCTTCGATCAAATGCATCGCCTGGACGACTGTCCTGTCCATTCATTGTTTCAGTGGACAAGTGAACTTCACAAGCAACTTCTTCAAAATGTGTTGCAAGGGTAGAGACACCCTCTTTACTCTTACCCTTACAAAAGTTATCCATATCAGATGTGGTCAACTGCTCACGAACCGCCTCCAAATGATACGTGGCATCGCCAATTTCAGATTGATCACTTGAAATGGTATTCTGAACTTGAGATTCAATTGAATTGTGTCCACCGTGCTCCTTGCGGTCGCTGGTCTAAAACAGTTCATTTGAAAAAAAAATGTAGTCTCATTAAGTAAAACCATCGATCTCACAACCCATCACTACCGGAGCAGTCGTTTCCATCATCAAGATGGGACATGAAACAGAGAATTTTGATTAATTTTTCAGCAAATTAATTAAGGCAACGGTGGGAGGGAGGATGGGAAAGGAGAAACAGAGCAGACACAAGCACTACTAGGAAATGGAAAATAAAGTAACTAGAAAAATGCAAGTTTCTGCATTAAACATTCACCTGTTTCATGAATGAGACAACATGACGTTGAGTCTAGCACTTTCATACCAATTGTCGACCTCCTTTTAATTAACTTTGGTGAAATTCTAAAGCTAACTTCTTTGGACTCCTATTGAAGACAGAGAGTACCACAAAATGGGCTCAAGAGCTGACAAGTTGGGACTGAGACATCGAAATGCCAGGTGCGTAGGACTTTGGCGACACAGGTGTCGATGTCTCTCGTCAAAACGACTAGCCGGTTTGAGTGTTGTCACTGCTGTCAGTGCTGCAATCGAACAGGCTCGCACACTTTTGCAAGTGCACAAGAAGCTATCACGTGGAGTGAGTGAGATTTACCAAACAGAATTGCATTTTAAAAATCACACCCTGAATCCTTTATTGTAAAAAAGAAAAAAAAA